GAGATCAAGAGTCGTTAAAGCACGCGCAGTGATCATATTCTCTACTTTTAGAGTGAATTGTCATTCCGAAGTGTGAAATCTCAGTCTTAAAGATTGAAACGCGAGCCACTCTTTTTCAAGACTGGCTTAATTTTCACTCACGTTAAAGACGCGGTATGTCACCATCGATACCCGAGTTCACTTATTGACACTATTCTTAATTAAATTTGATAACTTGTGTGCGCAAGGCGCGCGCTCGTTCGCAACGCTACTTAAGTCTATCTACACCTCTGTGCCGCGGCGGGAAAGTGAACGGGAAGCGAGACTTATGGCGGTTAATTAATCGCGGAAGGCAATCTTGATTACGCCAAATTAGTATGTGTCACAGTCTACATGATGGATATTTTGACGCTGGAATTAAAGCCGCCAGGGGAATCCCATGCTGCATGTATTACTCGTCGATTCGAAGAAGCAATTAAGTAATGGAGTTACCACGAGAGTGGCGAACGTACTATATTACATTCGCAAACATAAATCACGCATCGTAAATACATTACCTCGAATTGGATATCAAAATTAGAGGATACATCAAAACCGATATTTATACTGCGTGGTGATAAAGAAGCGATCACTTTTGCTGTTAACCGTGTAATAGAAAGTAACATTACAATTTAATAATATGTTTCCAGTCGTCAAAGTGAGATTAACGATGTGACGACGCTGACACAAGGTGGTAAGGCTCGCAAAAATGTGCCTCGTAATTTTTTGTTTAACGCAAATGCACTTGCCCCGCGATTTCTTCTGGCAAGTTTTACGCGACGTAAATTGCACAGGATAGCAGATTTCAAAGGCCAACGGTCGACGTGTGCGTAATTTTTGTTTCGAGTACTCTCTCTCGAAAGACTTTTAAAAACCGAGTCACGCGGAAAGTGATTAATCGAGAGATAGTTATGATTGATATATAGATATTATATTATATATGCATATATATATTATAATTATATATACATTAGAGAAACAACACATATTGATATGAATGTTCGACTAATTTGATGCTCTTATAACTTTCATAAAAATAAAGATACCGGGGATTAAAATTTGTTTAATCGAAATATCAGATATTATAGAACATAACGATAGTAATGTATGAAGTAGCGTACTTTCTGTGTGTATTTTTCTACGTGGAAACTTTTCTCACGGAGATATCTGAAAATCGTCACGCTTGCCATCTCGTTGGAGTACCGGCGGACTTGAAGGAATTTCTAAGGAAGCGCGGATAAATCAGCATACACGAGTGTACGTTGGATAAATTCCTTCTACGATGTACTATCTCGCGCCTCTTGCTTCTATAGCGATAAAGCTAAAAAGTCGGGCGAAATAGCCAGGAGCTATCGAAAGTAATGGATCATTCTTGTCGAAATCCTCAATTAGGATTCTTCGTAAAAAAAAGAAACGTGTGGTGTAGGTATTATCGCGTATTCGAATCTCCCTCGACATTGGAGATTATGTAATTTTCTGCAATTTTTTTTGTTCACGCAACATCTTCATTTAATTTTTCAAAAATTATTAACGACGCTATATTTAATTATTATTATTCTATGTGTAATATATGTATATATATAATAATTATTATATTGCAGTATTAAAATATTTAATCGTCAGAAATGTTTTTAGGACAATTTGACAATAACGGCGATGCTAGTTTTACAATATGTTCCATTAAATATCATGCTGCCAATTTGTTTTGAAATGGACAAAGCGAGCTACATAAAAAGTCGCAGATTCCCAAGAACAATTTAATAATACAAGAAAACATCGATACTACAAAAGGCAGATTTCTATACGTGAAACACGCTCGAATTCCAACGAGTCGCGTGTTTGCATTCGAATATATTTTGTATCATGTTCGATATTTGCGAAAATATTTCAACGTGACTCTCTGTGACGTTAACAGCTCCAAACGTAGCCGTCAACACTTTTCGAACGCAGATGTATTCGATTCGTGTGAAAATTGTATCGAAGCAAGAGTCGCACGGTATATAGACCATCGGTCCGGCGAACGATCGGCGATAAAACCGCGAATTCTGAACACGCGCGGATGGATGTATCATATAATAATGAGAATATAATGACGATGTTGCGGGCGTGGGTTAACCGCCCGCGCCTCGTCCATCGATGTCTTCGTTTCGCGTACGCGGCTGTATGTTTTACATACGCGTGTGCAAGTGACACGCATCGCGTGCGATATGTCGCAATTCGATTCCGCGAGACATGGAATTATCTCGGACTTTTTTTTCCCGTACACGTAAATTTGTCAAAAATAACTTTTGCGGCCACGGCGGGATTTCTCGACTTTTACGATTCACGCACAAAGGATTATAATATCGAAACCATTGAAAAATCTGGTAGACTCATACGATGCTTGAATTTTATTTATTTAATTATCAGTCTCTGCTCAATTTACTCTTAAGTTGATTTAATTTTTAGTTTACTCTCTAAACTCTACTCTTTCAATATACGGGATATTGTTTGAAATATGTCATATTAAGATGTAACATGATCATTATTGACATTTCGAAATACTTAAGACTATTTTTTTAAAGGCACATGCAATAAACAACAATAAATGTCATTAAATCGCACGTGAATATATATTAAACTACACGTAACGAGAAGGCCTTATCAGTTAATGCTTAAATAATATTTCGGTGTGAATTTATGCACATATTCAATTCTGTAAACAGCGTTCTGAAGAACTGAATATGTATATAAATTTACATCGAAATATTATTAAAGTACCTATAATCCAGCTTGGGACCGATAAGACTTTCTCGTTATTTAGTCATGTTTTTTGCTTTTGCACTGAAACATTTTGCGTGTACAAAACGTGATGCGACCACACGTCGCATACGAGCAAGTCGTGTTTTTGAATATAATGGAATGTATACGTATTAAATATGAATAGTTTATTGCCTATAATATCGATCGGAGCTTATATCTCTCTTCGGCATTGGAAACACATTTCCTTGCCCGATTACGACTTTGGCTGAATCGTATTTAATTCAACGACACAACAAGCACACTGTTCGCCGTCGTCAATATTCTTCGCAAACGGATCGTTTTTTCATGCAAAAATATTTCCATCGGGTGTACATCGTCATGAAGCGTGTGCGAAGGTAAACATAAACTGTCAGTTATTTGCGTTACAAATGCGACACCATCGAGCCGTAAACGCGCACAGGTGTATTAAAGCACCGAAGAAACGCATTCGTAATCGAGAAGGAAAATGGGTGTGAAACAGCTGCTTAACATCAATAACTACCCGCTAGATAAACGTACGCTAATTAGAGCGTCCGTGTTTTGTAAGAGCATTATTCTCGGCAGGAGTCTACACGGTCGCGCTCTGATTTTGTAGATGCGAAAATTCGCCGTTGAGTAACGAGACCGATGAGAAAGTCCTGCCCGTGCGTTTCATTTCGCGTGCTCCAGTTTGCGTACACACACCCCGTATATCATGCACACGTAAGATCCATCGCGAACGAGCGGCGGCTCAAGCAACGGGTCTTCTTCCTCGTAAACACTCGATGCCGGAACTCGCAATAACAGCCGCATACCACGCATACCGTGTTCAGCAAAAATTACCGAAGGCTGTCGTGCTTTTTTTTTTCTCTCTCTTTCTTTTTTGTTTCCCGTGTTACGAATCCGCGCGTGCGTACGAGACGTCCTCATATACGTGACTTTCTTGGCGTTTGCATGGCGTATCTAGCTGTTACCGCGCCGAGAGGAATAAGCGACAATTCAAGAGTATACGTGCACTTTGCCACGAAGTTACATGGCCGGAATAATGTCGGGATGCGTGTACGCGTAATCAACGTAAGTCGGTATTATCGGACGGCGGGTTCCGACAATGTCTATAAAGACGTGTCGCGTTTCTGACTCGAGCGATCTCGAGGAAGCGATTATTTGTAATTAGCTTTGCCGGCCGGGAGGGAAAGTTCCGGGATACGTTCAAAATTTCGCACTTTCTCCGCGATGTTACGCGAATACCTCCGTGTGTACGCGTGAGACGCCTTTGGAGAATCCAATCTCGAACTATCGTCGATACGTATACTGAAAGAAAAGATCGGCTGCCGTAATAATTTAGATGGAGAAATATGGCATGCACTTTTTAATTGGCTATGCAGTTTCCAATTTTTGGTTACGTTATCCATTCGTAATAACTAAAAATTCGCTGCTGCAGCTAATTAAAAATGCTGCACCAATCTTTTTTTCAATGTACAGATGCAAGATTTCGTAGGTGGATCGCATATTAATAAAAAAAACTTTCGGATGGAAAAAATATCACACGGGAATAAAGCAATATGCTACGTTCATTTGTCGGTGTTTGATACGAAGCACCTCGCGTGTAAGTTTCGTGCGGCGTTCTTAAGATTTCTCACGTTAGAGGAGAATCATTTAGAAATCTTATGGTCTTATACCGTGATCTTTGTGTAATTCTTTGTTCCATTGAAAGCTAAGCGAAATCTTTTCTATAGAAAGTAATTCGCTCATTACTACTGTTAAATTTCATTTAACAAACCAACGTGCACTGAAAGAGAAATAAAAGAGAGTATGTATGTTTGATTACTATATCTACTTTTCTGTAGAACTTTATAACCCTCTTATTACATTGTAATTACATCACACTCGAACCGCGGATCTGAATTGACCTAATCGTTCAAGGTAAATCTGGCTTTTTACGAGGGAGGTTTATTATCGTAAAAGTAAAAAATTACTTGTAATTTATTATAATTAGTTATGAAAAGTAACAAAAAGCTTCCATGTGCAAATTAACAGAAAGAGAAAATTTAGCGAATGAGTCAAAATTCGCACGGCCGTGATTCTAGCGTTAATTTTTGTAAAGTTTTGAAAAACACGTGCTCCATAAACTCCCTTTTCGAATCCGATAATTATGAAAGCTTTACCGAAAATTGGAAGAATCCGAACGAAAATGAATATTGTATGTCTTGTTTTTGTTACAGGGTACAATGAGCCTAACCAAACGTATAGACGAAATCAGGTTGCTCGAATCACGTAAGAGTGCACGACTTGCCGATCAGGACACGGATTTCGCCAGGCTTGCCGATATGGCTGGCGATCGCAAGCGAGCATCCTCCCACTCTATCGACGTACCACACGTGATGGCGTAAGTTCCTCTCTTTTTTCCCTATTACCGTCGCTTATCTGGAATACTTTTATGTTCGAGGCAGCAGATAAGGTCGAAAGTAACTATCGTCGATTGACAATAAACTTGCATCCAGACAAGCGGAATCGTCCTTTTAAACGTCGTTTGAAAGTAAAATACAGTTTCGCGGAGCGGCGCGCGACTCTTACTATTGACTCGATTATGCAAATTTCACGCACCTTCCTCGTGTGAAAGTTATTCAAGCGAAAAATTATTCATATGTTTGATTCAATTATTAACCGAACATATCCTTTTGTTTTATTTAAATAATATTTTTCAGATAAAAATGAGAGTATAACGCGGTTGTTGGTGTGTAGTTACATTATATTGTTGTTTCGTACAGTATTTTTACTTGAATATATTTTACTCGACAGTAAATACTGCACGAAACAACAGTACAATTTAATTACACACCAACTGCATTATATACCCTCATTTGCCTTAAACTTATTTATTTCAAGAATTCCCAGAAAAATTATTACACACCCTTCCGTTATTAGTATTTTTCATTTTCTCGTGCAATAATGTAAGATATAAATTTCCTAGAACGACCTGGTGCCCTTATCCCAGTCCCACCCAGCTCCCACAAACGTGATCTTCGTGAATTCATCCTACAGCAACATCTCTATATCGTAATACGTGAAGTATCAAAACAACGTGAGTATGATTTTCGTTCAACGTACATTCAATTTCGCGTTACAGTTTAGCTGATTCATTTTTTAAAATGACACAAAAATTATTAATACTAATATAAGAGATATGAAAATAGAAGTTTAACCAAATATAATGCATATGTGTGCTGTCTCCCTCTTCAACAGAATTGTAATATAGACAAATTATTTGGCCGTACGCCTTTTTCACTGTTAGACGCCTTATATGTCAAAGGTATTCTAACAATCCGACATATACCGAAGGTCATTGCCAGATGCGACGCGTTGACAAGACCTTCTCGGTATGCAAGGTTATTAGAATATCCTTTCTCCACGTCAGGCTTCTCTCTTCCGTCAAGTAATAATGACAAATAGAGGTCGACAGGTCTGTACATATTTTCTTCGCGTAAATTTTATATATATTTTATATATATATAATGTATAAAGCAAGAACGTATGGAACATCCGTTTGCCGATCGTTAGACCGTGAATCGCACCCTCACCTGTCTCTCACCTTTATACTGCACGCAACTCCCAAGAACGCTTTACGCCTCACCCCCGTTGAATGTCAGTGAATATTCGCTGTAGGGACTCTTCGGTGAGGAATAGCTGACGGATATTTTAGTAAAAAAAACCGTGCAACAATACCTTCGTGATTGCAATTTCCTGTTTGGAAGTCCTACTCCGATCGTACAATTCTTTGTGCTGTATCAGTTAAGTACTATGAATATAAATGTATAGGATGAGTCATAAATATGTTTTAAAGTTTTGTAAGAGTGTTCCCGGATACAAAGAAAAATATATTTTTATGTACATTAATACTTGATCATAATGGACACAAATAGATTTGAAACTATTTGTGACTATCGGTCCAATTCTTTTTTTCATATGTAGAAAATGATGGAGGACACTTTGAGCATTTCTTGTAAACCAAAGGAATATTCGTCTGAAATTTCGAAATGTCATTATTTGATACTACTGTATTTACGTTCATTATTTTGACAACGATGCATTGCGACTTAATGTTCGGGAATATTTACTCTTTCTTTCTTTTTCAAGAACACGTTCGAGAAATTTTAAACATATGACTCTCATTCTGTATACACACATTATATACATATCTAATATATGTACATACACGTCATAAGTCGGATAATCTGATCTTATCATTTCGAAATACTAAAATCAATACAGCATAAAGAATCGTAAGATTAGAATAAGATCTTTGAAAATATAAAATATGTGCGTATAAAATCAATTTAATTCATTCATAATTTAATACATCGTTATTTCACAATTCATAAATGAATAGACGAGAAACGATATTCTGTGCTGATAATATTACACATTTTACGTCGTTGCCCGAATTGTTTTTATATTTATTTAAATAAAATTCATTTGAACCTCGGATGAAATTGCCGTCGTGAGATCCGCTTATAAGATTACGCGATTGAAAAACAATGAAGTTGCTCGTTCCGCCTACTCTTATATGTAGCTGTCTGGAGTCTGCGACCTGCGATCCTCATCATTTGAGACGAAATTTTCTTGCTATCTCCCTTCCTCTTTATCGTCATTTCTCTGAAAAGGATAGACTGGTCGTAGCCCGGCAGGGCGACGAACTCGAAGGTTAATGACCCTCTCGACTTTTCGTTTAGTATGAGCAAAGTCGGTCCTTGACCCGAGGATCGTCTTGCAAAGGAAGAGATTCGTCCGGCGGCCGTACCGAGATGTAGTTGTCCGCAGGTAGAAAAATGTCGGTGCTTTTCGGTAGACGTATAGGTGCACACACCTGGCCCTGGCACGACCTGCCCCACGTGAAAGGAAAGGTCGTCGAAGAGAAATCGAATGCCTTTCGAATAGTGCGATGATATCGGCGACGAAAGCGTGCGCGAAACCCGGGCTACCGTTTAACGAGACCTTGTATCGTGTTCAAGGCTTCAACTCGCCGTACACAATTAATCCAGCGGATTGTACGCGAAATTATTAGACGGACGTGCATGTTACGACGTTAGTGAAACGAATCCTTCTGTCATTCGAGTTGATATTAAAATTACACGTTTGAATATTTGCAGAAAAGTGTAGTGGTATACACACTTCAAGTTTTAATTTATTTGAATATTTTTCGTAAGAGTGAAAATAACGTATGTAAATAAAACGAGATGTATTTTAAATATAAACGTTATATCACAGCACACACATTTTACATAATGAAGTTCCTTGCGGAATTTGCTCGATTCTAAATGATGGGTCTAGCATAGAAAACTCGGTTCACGTAAGTAACTTGCGCCAAGGCATTTCTCCGTTACGTTGTCGAGGCACCGTTTATTCTTTCTACCTTTCACACGCAACCGTGCACGCCGCATGGTGCAACGTGAGTACTTGCGTGTGCGGGTTTGCGATAATTGATGCCGGCAAATTGAGCAACGTAGTAGCACTCTTTCCCCCCATGACGTAATTCCGTGCACTCTCCGCGAAACGATAATCAACGTGCCGGGCGATTTTTATACCTTTTCGGCTTTCGCTCGCGATTACTTTGCTTCGAGCCGCTATACATATGTAGTTCGTAACGAGAACAATCAGGCTTCACGACGAACGAAAAGAAATTATAGCTCGCCCCATAATAATGGCCCCGACATTTTCGCATTGATATGCTTCGCTGATCTGACTCGTGTACGATTCTCTCTCACGAGATACATTTTCAGCCAGTTTGCACACGTTACTCGCTCTCGTGCATCGATAAAGAGCAAAACGCAAGCATATAGAGGGATACGAGATGGGGATCCATGATCGGTGGGACGTGCGCGGAGAAACACGAAAACGGAGAGAGAAGGACGATAGCCGCGAATAGATACGATGGGGATGTGGATAATCCAAAATATAACTTCACCGACTGAATATATAACTGCTATCTCCTCCGCCCGGTGCCACGCCAACGGGCGCAGTGAGTCAGTAGGTTAGCTTACGTAATTTTCGGACGGCAATTCTCCGCGCACCGACGAGGAGAGGCAGCCCCGACTTGCGGTGTCAGGAATTAGGTCGATCAATACTTACGCGGCCGCGCTATATAGGTCAGGTGCACTACCACGCTCCGCGTATGCGACGAGGAGCGCTGTCCCCCCCCCCCCT